TGGGTACCCTAAGTATTAGGTGCCGGATTACAAGAGGGATCCAAAAAGGGACCATAAACTTTGACAACCACCCAATATGAGCCATAGTCTAAACTCCTTAAAGAGGGGTTATATAGGTGGGTTTTAATTATATACATGTATATAGATGGGCTTAGGGTTTAGGGTCTAAACTCCTTAAAGGAGGTTATATGGGTTTCTTCACTGTTTTTTAGTTGGTTCGGTGATGTATTTTAGTTTACTAGCCCAAAAAAGGAACTGCAAGGGAGGTTTTTGGGATGAGAGGTTCAGGGCTTGGGTCCTGCAGGAATGGAGGCCCTAAGCCCTAAACCCTAACATGGAACCCGGGGGGATTGAGGGTTTGAGGGTGGTACGGTGGGAATGGAAATTTACATGGAGTAGAAAAGGCCAATATGAAACGTTGCGATTTGTGGGGTTTTAGTGGTCTTGGAGTTTGGAGTAGGTGTTCTATATGGGGCGGGAGAAGGGTTGAGTGGTGAAGTTTAGGGGGCGTAGAACTCAGGGATAGGGAAGCTTCCCATCTGGGGTATACCTTTTCTGGATGAGTTGAGCTGTTTTGTACTTGGAGGAGGGAAGCTACAGTCCCCAATATGGGGGTTAGGGTTGAGGGCGTAGGGTTATCTGTATATAACCCCTATGTAGCTGCATCTAATTCCTATATACTCCCAATATAACCGATATATGTTGCTTAGCCCGAGCAATGCTTAACATCAAACCAGAGGTTTTGGGGTCTAGAATAGGACAATAGCAATTCAAGAAGTGGTTTGGATTGGGGTTGGGAAAAGATCAAACAGGAGTTGGGAAGGTGTCCTTGAGAGGCTGAGCTCTTTTCTGAGATTTGCTTGAGGACTTGGCGACGGGGCTTGGGTAGGGGTTGGAGAAGTGCATTGGAGGGCAAGGTCTGGGGTAGAATTTTGGGATTGATCGAGTCCCAGGTCGAAAGTGGTCGAAATTGGTCCAGACCAGTTGAAACTGGTCAGGAATGGTTTCAATAGCCGGATTGCGGTGAGACTGGTGGAGACCGGTCAAAACCAGTCAGACTGGTTGAGACCGGTCGAGACCGTCAGACTGCGTGGTTGAGACTGCTCGAAGCTGGCCGAGACTGGTCGCGACTGGTCGGGAAGGCTGGAAGTTTGAACACCTTATACTTTAAACCAGTTTCGACCAGTCTCGACCAGTCCCAACCAAATTCGACGCGCACAACCACTGACGGGCGCTCGAGATGGGGCCCGACGAAGGGCTGAAGTCCCGCGCCGCCGCATCAAACCTCCTTTTGATCTCCAAAATCCCTGCGGTTCGAGCAACCTGAGATCCCACCACCCGCACCGCACCAGCCTTTGTGCCTCCTCTCGACCTTCAAAATCCGCATGATTTAAGCAATAAGCAAGAAGAAATCCCGCATCAGAGCCTGCACCAGCCTTTACACCGTCTTTCGACCTCCAAAATCCTTTGATGTTAAGCAATGGACGGGCTAAGCAACTTATATGACCCCTATATAATCCTTATATAGTCCTCATATAAATTCCTATATAGTCCCTAGAAACTCCCTATATAACCCTGATATTATCCGCATAACCCCTAAACCCTAAACCGATTAGCCCATGGAATAACAAAAGCACCAAAAAACAAGGGAGTGCAGGGTCATAAGGGGTTAGGGTTTAGGGTTTTTAGGGTTTAGGGTTGGAGGTTTTGGGTTTATCGTGTCGGGTTTAAGTTTTCAGTTTTAGGGTTTAGGATTTATCCGGGTTGCTGTTATGAAGCTTAATTTAAGTTACTATACTGAGAAACTCTACTATTTACTACATACTCATAATATGGTAACTTAAGTTAAGTTGCCTAATAGGGACGCAGTAATTTGTGATGTTATCTTGAAGCACCCTTAGAATCCTTAATTGTTTTTTGAGTCTGTATAGTCAGTATAGTAGAGTATCGTAGCAAAGCCCTAGTCTGACCATGTAGGTGAGGCAAGCCCTCTCACTCAACCTAGGTCAATTGGGCTTCTGTAGGGTTAGCTGCGTCTCCGAATCCTTGCAGGTCCACGCCAAGAAGGCCATTTTCGCGAGGACTCGACGGTGAAGGGTTTTGGAGTTCATATTGTAGACCGCGATTTTAAGAGTTCACCTGAGGTCACATTTCTTTGCATAAAATATTACACGAATACTAGAACTAAGTGAGATACTGGTCCAAGAGCCCTAAAATAGTTTTTTTGGAAAGTCTGAAACGACCGTATTCTACATCGGCCTCGATAAAGGCAGCTATTAGGATGTAGGGCCCCCCATAGAGCTCCAGATCGTGTGCGGCCAGCTATTAGGACGGAGTGCGCTGGAGATGACTAGGGGTTAAGGATATGTTAGGCTCAAAACTTTAAACCCTAAAGCCTTAAAAGCCCTAGGGGTCAAAATATGTTAGGCTTGGAATTGTAGAGTGGCTTTCAATGTAGATTTGCTAGGCTAGGCACCCGCATCTCAACGCACTCCCGACCTAAACCTGGTGACTGTGCCCGTTTGAGAAACCCTACAACCTCCAAACCCGAAGCCTATTAGGGCTTGGGATTTAGGCCCCAAACCTTAAACCCTAAGCCCTGTTAGCAGTGGGGATGGAAGCTTGACGTTCAAATCTTAATGCCCCAACTCCAGCCATTGAGGACAATCATACGGTTAGTTTAACTGCTCTATTATCATTATTATTATTATTACTACTACTACTACTACGACGATTATTATTACTACTACTACCTATATTGTCACCATTTTTGTTCTTATTCTGATTAGCATTACTACTACGATTTTCATTACTACCATAGCTCTTACCAGTATGCAAGCCTGCCAACTTCCCCGCAAATCCTGCAGGAAGTATTCGGCTCGGTGCTGAGTGCTTGCTTTGTGGTTTTTGTTGTTTACGCACCTCACCAGTAGCTCGTAGGGAACAAGGGAAAGGCCCATATAATCCATTTATATATATATACAGTGTATAACATATTCACTTCTTCCCTGCTAAGGAAGAGTAAGGTAAAGAATCCCCCCAAATGATGTCTTGGACTTCCCTGAAAGGTGGTAACTGTGCCGTGCAGGGTGAAGAGGTTTGCCCGAACCCAGACACACCCAGCCCACCCACATGCCCACAACAGCTGTCCACGTACCCACGACTTTAAAGCGAGGGCCTTTACTTAGAACGAACACAAACGAGTTCCCCCCTAATTTTTTGGCAGTGGGAATTTATGCAGGAGGGATTTAATGCAGGATTATGCACTAATGTAATTCGCCTGCGGTTCGGGATGTCTGGATCTAGCTCTGGACACTGGAGACGAAGATTGGATAAAGGCCACAAGCTACACCCCTGGGGCTCTGAGTCCTTAAGCAAGAAATGATGCTAACATGAAGCCCAATATTGATCAATACTGTTGATACTAAAAATCTGCATGACCTTAGTATAGCACAATAATTCCCAAGATTTAGGGTACTTAGGGTCATGCAGGATTTTTAGTATCCAAGGTATTGTCTACACTGAGCTATTTAGAGCCTGTCGGAAAAGCATTGAGCAAGGTTCAGGGTGTTGTTCAGGAGTGGGGGATGGAGGGTTTAGGGGTTGGGGAGAAAGGGTTTAGGGATTTAGGGACATAGGGTTTAGGGTTTATGGTGTAGGGGTATAGTGTGCTTACGGATGCAGCTGTGAAGCAAGCTTGCGTATCCATTCCTCTGGGAGGGGTGGCTGAGGGGTTTGAGCCCACAAGCCTCAAGTTAGTCCTAAAACCTATATTCTCAACCCCAAACCACGTCCCTAAACCGTGCAGGATTCAGGGGTCACAGTTGACGCTGCAGCATTCTAACCCTCGCTCGAGGGCAGGAGGGCTGGCCATTGGTATCGAATCCTTCCATGCTAAACACCCTGAAGCCAGAGACCCCTACACTCGGTCAACTAACCCTAAGGGTCCAAGTAGCTAATAATCAGATACTTACCCAAAATTGTAGTATTGTTACAATTAGCCAAATCCCAAGTACCTAATTATTGGGTACATGGACCCTCTGGGTAACACGGAGGCTCAAAAGGGCCCTAAAAAGATTACAGCGCTGTCCATTCAAAACGGAGCCCATATCAGCTTCCATGTTCGTCTTGGGGGAAGGTAGTTGGTGTCCATGCCTTGTGCTTAAGGGGACTCCTCATTTTGGGAAACCTCCATATAATTACATCCTTACTTGGAGGTTCATGGGATGTAGTAACTATTTATATCTGTGTTTATAACCCTACTGATAAGCCCTCTAAATGGCCTTATAGGACTTACCCTAAGTATGCGTAGGGTTATGATCCCAGTTGGAAGTCATTATTATGTCTCATGAACCTCCAAGTATCGTAATCCTTGCATACCTGCGGGATGCTGGTATGGGGCTGCCCTTCTGTGAAACTCGGGTTTATAGGGTCTAGAGTCTAGGGTGTGATCTCTGGCGCATAACTATAGCCCGCACCCAAATGGTGCTTGGTAAGGAAAGGTGTATAGCCTGTAAGGGACGACTATAAGGATCCATGGCTAAGCACAGGGGAGAACCTTACAAGTAGGCGTCAAATTCTGATCCCTAAGTCCTAAAACCCCTAAACCCTGAACCCCTAAACCCTAAATCCTAAATCCTAAACCCTAAACCCTCTAAATCCTAAGCCCTATCTGCATGCTAAGGATTGGCAGGATGCCGATGACTGGCTCATGAAGCTGGAGGAGCAGCACTACAAAGGTCCGCGAGACAGCCAGGGTTTAGGGTTTTGGGTTTAGGGTTAGGGTTTCGGGTTTAGGGTTTCGGGTTTAGGGTTTCGGGTTTAGGGTTTGGGGTTTAGGATTCAAGGTATACGCTGCAGTTATGTCTAGCCCAAATAAGATAGGGCTCCTGTCTTTGGAGTACGCATCATATTGCGTGTACTTCGGGTGTAACAGGGGGGGGGGCCGCTGATTCTTGTCAATTGTCATTAATTATTGGGATGCTCCAGTCGGTACAAGGGAGGGCGGGGTTTCTCAATCAGTGTTTAAGGTATGAGACTGAATGCTTCGAGAGGGCTTTGCGTCATAGTACTGTTCTACATTTTTGCAAGGAATGTGGGGGAGTGCTGTGAAACCGTCATGGATTATCATTTCGGGCATGGTGTTAGGTAAACCCTAACACCCTAAACACCACAACCTAAATCCTCAACCCTAGACCCTAAAACCTAAATCCTAAACCCATCTAAACCCCGAAGCCTAAATTCTAAACCTTAAGCCCGTATACATTAGTAAGATGATCAGCCTCTTTGCTTGTTCCAGGGTTTTGAGGGGTACGTAGGAGCTATGTATAAAATCTTGGAAGCTCTATATAAATCTTGGAATCTCCATATAAATCTTGGAATCTCTATATAAATCTTGGAAGCTATAGATAAACCTTGGAAGCTATATATAAAATCTTGGAGGCTATTTATTACTATGTAGCGGCAAGCGGCTTGAAGCGGTTCCGGACTATTTATAACCGCTCCCTGGGCAGCTGCTATTCGAAGCTACCCGAAATTATTTGAAGCTATTTGTGTTTTCTGGTTATACATGGCTTGAAGCGGTTCCGGACTATCTATAAGATAGCCTCTGGCTGTGATCAACAGTTTTATACATAGCTTCTGGGATTTCTAAATAACTTCTGGGATTCATAAATAGCTTCTGGGAATGATAAATAGCTTATGGTATGTTATAAGCTGCTTCTGGGATTTTAAAAATTGCTTCTGGCCTCCAAAGGCTCAATTCTATTGCAGGGGACCCAACAGGTAGCATCATGTCAAGGGGGCGCATAAGCCCTAAACCGCAAACCCCCAAACCCTAAGCGCTAAATCGTAAATTAGGGGAGGTGGACTCAAGCGGTTCAGGGTTTGGGGTCTGGGGTTTAGGGTCTGGGTTTACGGTCTGGGGTTCAGGCTTTAGGGTCTAGGGTCTAGGGTTTAGGATTTACGGTGTAGGGTTTAGGGTTTAGGGCTTCTAAGGCAGGGAGCCTGAATCTGCGAGATCAACAGCATGCTGTCATCCCCTCCCCTCCCGCCCACAGATAACCCCAACACCTGCCCCCCCCTTTAGGGTTTATACTGACATTATACTGGGACTGTCTATTTTGAGGGGGTGTGCGGGGGTTGATCATCTGGCGGAGGGGATTCAACAGCACACATTTGTCATTGAGAGTGCGACTTATCTCGGACGTCCATGTGGGCGAAAGCCCTGAGCCTTAAACCCTAGACCCTAAACCTTAAACCCTGAAAACCCCCAAAAGCCTGCAGTCTGAAGCTTTACACACCCACCTTTAAGCACTTCTACCAGCCATGAATCCTTTATGCTGGTTTAGGGTTTAGGGAAACACTACTGGAAGTTTGTGTAGCTCTGAAAATTCTGAATGCCTCAGGTTCTCCAGTTCAAAATTATGACTCCACGCTGCGCCTGGTGCAGTCGATCGGTGAAACGCAGCCTGCCTCAGACTCGTCCTTGCATACGCTCCCGAAGAAACACAGTTTGGGGTTTAGGGCGAGAAAGAACATGGCGATGAGTTCCAGTACCATGTAGTGAGAATGAAAGAGAAGTAATTCTACAGGCTAGAGCCATAGACCTCGGCCTCCGAAAACGTAGCAGAAGTCTAGAAGAAATCGGATGTGCGTGCACTTCCGGCTATGAAGAGTGTAGAGTTTAGAGCTTTGGGGGTTCTGGTTCAGGCAATTACACATGAGCTTATCATGGATACAGGGGTATGTCTCCATTACATAACAAGGCCTCGCAGCCTTCAGCTTGAAGACACATGCTTCAGGGAGCCGGAATTAGGCTTGCTTCAGCTTGCTGTGGCCTTCTGTTGGGAATCCTTCGCATCTGGGTGTTTGAGCTGCCACCCTGCTTGAGATCAGCGTAGAAGCCTAGATAACCTGCCAAATAGTATGGTCCAGCTTTCTCATTTATAGTCCCCCTCAGTTAGATAGAATGTGAGGTATATGGAGATCTTATTATAACATACCCAAATCCATGTATATCTACTTCAGGGGGACTATAGGTCCCTGTATCATCCTTATTACCTATATAGACCCCAGCCATGGCGGAGAGCATGCCCCCAAAACTGTAATATGGTACTTTCCCAAAGGGTTTAGGGTTTAGGGAACTTCAATACAGACCCCCAAAGACTATAGCCTTTTATGGGGACCCTCCAAAAAGCAACCATAAGTTTGGGAAACGCCCATGTATTCCCGTGGAACTTGATTGGGTACCATGTCGCACATAGCCTTGTAGTTGTCATGCTCCCAGAATGAGTTACCCCATCTTCTTTGGGGTCTACGTGTTGACACGGAGAGGTACTTTCACTTCAACGATGGCGAGTGCCGTGCGCTGAAGACGACTCTGCGTGACATCGAAGGCGCTGCTGCTTCGTGGAGAAGCACGGTCAGAAAATTGCTGTAGGGGTTTTATTTTGGGGGTTTCATATATAAGGATCATCTTATTTTAGTGTATGTAATGGGGACCCTTGTTTATGGAAACCCCCCCCTCCCCGTATGGTGTGCTTCAAAACTGCGAGGCAAGAAAGCTGGGCGAGTACGTCTTTCCACATTCTACAAGAAGTCGCTCTACAGCCACTGGCGTTTCACCGAGAAGGCACGTTCACCTTTGCGACTCTCGATTTTCATCTCTGAAGCAGAACTAGCAATCAAAAACCTGAAGTAGAACGCATCTGAGACACTGGAACAAGGAATTCTTGGGGCATGCTAGAGTCTAGGAAACGAGATTTTACTTGTCCTGGGGTCAAGCTGGGCCAAAGATAGTTACGTTGTAAGGAGTCATTGGACATGTTGCGTGGTATTCGACCATCCAGCAAATAGATAAGGCAAGTTAAGCCTGATGAGCAGATTTAGTAAGTTGCTCAAGCCCTTCACTGCCATTCGAGATACAAGGTTGCTGGACCCTCCAAGCAGGAGTTCTTATCCTAGGCTGTTCACTTGAAGTTTGTGGGGCCTGTCATGTGGAGTTCCTTGCGCAAGTGCCGCAAGGGTGGGGGTGCTGAGAACCCTAAGCCCTAAACCCCAAACCCAAACCTACACCTGAAACCCTCAAGTCCAAACCTTAAACCCTAGACGCTACACCCCAAACCCTAAACCGTGTAAAAGCTGCATTTTCTGCACGGGGGGCCTAAACGACCAAACATTCTGAGCCCAAACCCTCACAGACGTCACCTTGCATGGGGTTTAGGGCTTAGGGTTTGGGGCTTAGGGTTTAGGGTTTGGGTTTTGGGGTCTGAGGTTTAGGTGTTGGGGTTTAGGGGTTGGGGTTCAGGGTTTAGGGTTTGGGCTTTGGGGTTTAGGGTATGGGGTTTGGGATTTGGGGTTTAGGGTGGGGTTTAGGGTTTAGGCTATGGGGTTTTGCAGTAGCCTTTAAACATTCTGGCCGTCCCTGAGGCTCCAAGCATACAAATGATAATACATTAGGGCCGAATGTCTATACATAGTATCTACTTTTGGCTAGGGCTATTTGGAGCCTTTGGGTCGTTCATGCTAAGCCCTAATGAACCCCAAGCCCCAAACCCAAAACCCCATTATATGGTCATAGAATATCCCGACGGGCTCATTTCCAGGGAT